GATCCATTAATTTAACTTTTTAAAAAAAAAAAAAAAAGAGTTTATGGAAACTATAAGGCATTTTCTAAAATATAAAATTATATTTCATTAAAAATAAATTTTATTGAACCAGAAATTATTTCAGATAAATTTTCTAATATAACTGCAGTTATGTAAAAGGCATCCTGTCTAAAACATGGAGTATTTTTAATAATTGAAAATGAAATGTATTGATATTTTCACTGTTTTTATCAAAAAATTTTTAAAGTATATGCAAACTCATAGAAAATCAGCTAACCATAGGTTGAAAAGAAAATGGTTTTAAATTTTCTTCTTTAAGATTTTTTTTTGTATTTTCATCAAAATATATTGCATATTTAGTTTAAAAAATATTTAAAAAAAATTAATTATTCCCTTTTTAAACAGAACCCATTCTTTGATATGTTATTTAAAATAATCAACATATAAATAATGGGTTCTATTTAAAAACAGAATAACTGTTGTCTCATGTAACAGAATAAAATAATAAATTTACATCAAAATCTTAATAATTTAGAGATACAACTCTCAAATTTCTCTAGATAATTTCTATCTCTAAATTACCAAGGTTTTTGTTGTAAATTTTTATTTTATTCTGTTACATATGTCAATTACAATTTCTCTGTTTTACTTTGATCTATTTTCTCCCATAACTGACCCATTTAACTTACCTTTAAATAAAAGGAAAAGATAACAATATATGATAAAAAAAAAAGATATGATAAGCAATAACAGTTATAGTAAGTGAAGCAAAGAAATGAATTCACTGATATACTTGTTACTAATATTTAACTTACATCTGCCTTAATGATGTATGAGATCTTCACAAAACTGATTATTAGCAGACCTGAATAGGCTACATTACATCGTTTTTAACCATGTTTTAATTATGATTAATTTACATATTAAATTTAGAAACTAAGGGTCAATTTCAGAAATGAGGGTGAGCCTAAACTATAATAAATACAACCAATCTGATAATTATTTCAAATAGTAAACAAACAGTTGAATTCCTTTGTCAGGCTATTAAAGCTAAATAACAGGGTCTGGGTAATATAAACGGCAATGAGTCTGCACAGGAGTGGGAGTTTCAGGTTTGAATCCCACTCCAGGCCAATCTTTTCTTCCAGAATATTTTAAAATTAAATTTAACAAGAGATGATGGCCTATCTATCTACATGTTGCCATATTACTTAGTAATTATTTAGCTTTAATAGCCCTATAAAGGATAGTGGCTGAAGACCATTCTGTATGCTTCTTGCCTTCAAGCAAATGTTTGAGAGGCAATTGTCACCTCCTGGCATCATCTTGTGAGCGCTATTACCTCTTACTTTTTTCTAGCCCAGGACCTCATTGATGACTTATTGTTTTCTGTGTCAAAGATGTGTCTGGACTTGGGTTTAAACTGAAACCATGTCTAAACCATAGCTTCAGTTTAGACTTCATTTTTGTAACAAACCTTAAGAGTGGGACCATTAAAATTTCTGAACTGTACATAAATATAGCAATGTAGACTTTTTATTTTTACATAAGATGACCAGTCAAAAATTAAATAATTCCAAAGGGTATTTTAAACAGGTATTATAACAAATGTTAAATTCTTTAGAAAAAATTTAGTATTTAAGTTAGAGAAAAATTTATGAAATTTATCACTCTTAAAAAATTTCAGAATTTCTAATTGTTAAAAGAATTTAAAACTTAAAACTCAAAAGCAAATAAATTGCTAACATTTATTCCACTGAAATAAAATCTCAAGAGAAAGTTTAGTCCAATGTTTTATCTACATATTCTACTAAACTTGACACTACAAACATCTCATAACTTATAAATATACCACTTATGATTGTTTGCTTGCCTTAGATAAGCAGTATATTCGTAAGTTTTTCAAATGTTCTATGGTTAATATTTTGAAACAATTTAATCTTCTGAAAATATATCAAAAAAGCATTTATATAGTTTGATGTAATAGGTTTACTCATGTATCTTGAATCATTGTGCAAAGCAATAAGCATGAACTTTTCTTTCTGATAAAAAAAGAAAATTACAGGTTTCTGTACAAATTATATAGTAAAACATAGAAGAACCTGTAACTTTCTTTTAGAGCAATTTAAAAAAGTATTTGCATAAAAAACAATCATTTTATTACGTGATAAATTAAAAAATAAGCTTACTTTTCCATTTTCATACCACAGCAAAGCATGATTTCTGGATAACACTTTACAATCAAATATCGCATTGTTGGTGGCCGGCCGACATCTCGCCACAGAGCGTCCGACTTTCACCGGCTGGTCTAGCGCAAGGTGCCGTTCTTGAAACGGATGAGAATTCGGACGACAGATCAAGACCGCCCGAGGCACCATGGATAACGGCAACCCAGTACTCTTTTCTGCTTCATTGGACGACTGGTCTACCGATTGCGCGGCCGTGGTTCCCGTAGGTGTCTCCAAGTCTGACGGATCTTTGCGATATACGACCATGTAATTTTCTTCAACGGCGATTGTTCAAGTCTCATTTCTCGATACACCATAGGGGCTTCATTGATATGCAAGTGTTAATAAATTCCAATAATATAATGCTGGAGAGAAAATAATTGATTAAAACAGCAGATTTATATGAAAATTCAGAGAAACATCAGACTAATTAACATATTACAGATGTATAGTTATATGCTTCCAGGCCGTTTTATACTCTTAAAATGCTGAATATGCAGAATTTAAGCTTAAGACACAGAGACCAGTCTTGATTAACTTTTAGCCGCTCCCCTCGATTTGATATTTTTTACATTCATCATTCACTCCGGATCTAACAATTCCAAACTTCATAAGTTACACGAACAAAGTATTAAGAAATTTACGTTAAATTATCCAATAAAACAGTCAAAGAGTCTTCACAAACTTCGAATTCTCAAGTTTGTAATATTTCTAAATATTTCTTACCAATCTCGATACTGGTCCATGTTGGCTTGCTGCGGACCCAGGAATCTAAATCATAGCATTCGTTCAATTTCAATATATAAACACTTCCGAGCGATACTATTTCATTTTACGGTATAATTAACGATAATACGATCGAATTAATAACATTATTGAAATATTAATGAATTGTGGGATTGAGAATATGGAGTTTTGTTGTTGACAAGATGGCAGCCCACGGAGAGGCGATTGATTTGGTTTTACGCCAAACTTTGTTACAAAATCGCCATTTAACTCCGACGATACTTCCTTGGGATAGATTTACCCAATGGATTCACTGTATATGCATAGTTACGTTTGATTTGGAATTGGGACAAGCTATGGAGGTGATGAATTTTTATTCATTCAAAGCTTGTTACTCGTGTAGTATAATTACACTTAATCAGAAATCTTATTGGTGATTTAAATGGTAAATTATACCGAAAGCCAATCAGGGTTTAACTTATATTCATTTTAAAAGAAATTTTATTATAATAAATTTTCTTGTTGTTTCGTTTTCTCTTATAATTTTCTTTTAATCAACAAATGTCAATTAAAAAAAAATTTTTATAATTTTTTATTATACTTCATATAGAAAATTTACAGGATTTTAAAGTCATTTTCAATTTTTCAAGTAATAATAATAATCTTAGTGTAAATATAAAGTCAATTCTCTCTGAAATTAAAAATTTCAATTCATAAGGCCCCAATTTCATGTAATAAATAAAAATTTACGGAAATTTGGTTGTTTTTAAAGGTTATTAATACAAAAAAAGGACATTTACAGTTTCATTGAAATCATAAATAACATTAACCAGAAAATAATTTACTAGTTCCAATAATATTTTAGGCCCGCCAGTGGTTCCATTCCCTGAACACTGGGAGTTTGATTGCGGATTCGCGCTTGGCTGGGACGGGCTGGCCATGTGGAGTTTTCCGGGTTTTCTCCACATCTGTAATGCCCAAATAGGGGCCAGTTACCCTTAAAAAGATCTCCCCTACATAAGTTTTGCATTGCCATAACTTAATAAAACACAACAAACCAATAATATTTTATTCTTACCAGCTTAGAAACAAAAAACTGCAGAAACTATAAATATTTCAAATAGTTCCTTTCTAAGAATACTTTTCCTTTTATCTGTCATTGCTTTGACTAAGAAATGGCATGCTTATTAATTTCACAAACTTTCAAGTTTGTAATATTGGTAGAAATACCATTTCTTCTTTAAAGCAATTACATTTTGATGTTCCTTTAGGATAGTTTTATTCCTTAACCAAGTATATAAATGTTTGACTTTTATATTGTATTTATTAATGAAACTAAATAAGTTGGTCTAAATGCAGGTAATCCAGATGCTACATTGTACTAATTTTAATAATTGCATTCATTTAAAATTGAATTTAATAATTAAAATATTCTGGAAGAAAAGATAAACTGGTGTGAGGACTCAAACTTACAATTTCAGCTTGCTTTGTAGATATGTTACCAGTTCAGCTATCTCGACCTTTATCTGATTTTTTTCCTTCCAGACATTAATTTAGACTGTATAATGTGTAATGAAAATATAGCTTAAAAGTTCTGACATTTAGATATTTGGTTATTAAAATTTGGGCCAGATTGTCTATTTTTTACGTATGTGTGTATATTGCTTGTATAGTAACTTTGCCAACTAAATGTCATCTTTTTATTTTTGTTAAATAGTGAAAGTCATGATAAAAAACAGAACTTGAAATTGATTAGTAGTAGTGTACTTTTGTTATGACAGCTTTTTTGTATCATGGAAAATTGATTTATTGGTATTGTTATTTATGCAATATTGATAGTGAATGGAAATCTAACATTTGAATAATTAAAAATAAATAATCAAACATCCTTACTACACCTAATATGCTTAAACCTATACATCAATCAAAGCCAAATATTATTAGGCTAGAAAGCAGTTTCTATCCTGATAATATTTGGTTTTGGTTGATGTATAAATTAAAAATAACTCAAAGTTCTTTAAATAATGATAAAAATCTGTTTTATTGGAACTTATTTAAGAAATTGTTGTTTAAGTAAACTCCAATAAACACATTTTTGTCATTAAAATTTGAGTTAAATGTTTTGGTTTTGAGTTGTCAATCTAGGTCAGTGATGGTGAACCCATGACCCATGTGACAATTGAAAGATATCTGCATTGAATGTTTAGAAAGTATTATAGGTTTTTATAAAATTATAACAAAAGTATTTGATAGATTTCAAAATTTTGTCTATGTAGTGTAAGTGTAGGGTTCTAAAACTGTCATGAAAAGTCTTAATTATGAACCTGAGATAGAAAAATTATCATCAAACAACAAATTTCCCATTAAATGAAATGTTTATTTCTGTCATAATCACATTTTTGTTCACCTAATATAGAGTTTATTATTATTTTCCTGGTATAGATTAAGTTAAATAATACAAAATAATTACAAATTTTTACTTTATTTTTAATTATTCAAATTAAACATTTGGCCTGTAATTTAGAGTTACTAAATTTTGACTTCGGTTTTGACCCACCTTTGGAAAAAATTTGCCATCACTGATCTAGGTTGAGTTTACTAGAAAAATCATTTATTATATATACTACATACTTTATATGACAGCAGCTGGAATTATATTGATTACTTACTAAAATACATTTTCTTAACTTATTTTATTTCCTAAGTTATAAATCACTAAATTATGGCATAGAAATTTGACTCCAAAATATTACTATAATTTTACTGTATACGTATTTGAAATCTTTTGAAAAATTTGTATTCAAAAGAGAATTTTTAATATCAGTTTTCATTGTTTTTTCTAATTCATCAATCCTATTTTATCGTCATTATGGAGAGAGAATTCAGTAAATATTTCTCTTTGTTTGAATTAAATCAAAAGTATGATTTAACTTTAATAGAGCCTGTATTTGTTGAGAACTGAAATGATAGTATTTTTGTGCTTCATTTTAACTTGTTAAAAAGTATTCTGAAGACTTTTACAAAATATTGCTAATTATCAGTATTATATAAGAATTTTGAGTTTTAAATTTGTCTGAATTTATATAGTTGTAGTTCATATTGAAAAGGGATGATAAAACAACTTTCCATGCAAGAGTTATTATGATCTCTCATCTTTCCTTTCCATGAGAAATCAACTGTGTTAATTGAGTGGCTGTTCATTCTCTCATGCATGAATAAATAGTCTCACAAGGAAAGTTATTTTCTTTAGTGTTTTCATTCATAACTTCAACCATATAGATACAACTTTAGTTATTAAAACTTCTTTTATTTTTTAATTTTTTTTACAGTTTCAAATATAAATAGAATTTAATTATCTATTTCTAAAAAAAAATCTAAAATGTCTTATATTTTTAGCAAAACAGGATTTTATTACTTCACTAACATTTTTAACTGGCTTAACTGATCATTTTCAAGTGAAAAAAAAGGAATAGAACAAACTACTGTTGGTCTGTTAGAAAGTGAATATATCTTTAAAGTTATTCTAGAACTTTAAACACTCCAAAGTTCAAAAAATATAAGAAGAAAAATTTTTGATTTTAAATTGAATAACATTTACATGCTAACTATTTTTACCTACTTAAACCTTGTTTATTAATAGGACTTATTATATGGATGTAGTTTCCGATTAGCAAATAGAGGAGAACTTAGTCAAAAGTCAAAACAAAATAGGTATCTTTATTTTCACCTGTTTATATTTTGTTTTGACTTTTGACTAAGTTCTCCTCTATTTGCTAATCGGAAACTACATCAGTATAATAAGTCCTATTAATAAACAACGTCCAAGTAGACAGGATATACACAAACATTTACATGCATTTAAAAAATATTTAAATACACTAAAAAAAAGATGTAGCCATCCACAATCACATTTGAAATTAACATTAATGAGTGTAGCCCCTTTGTACAGTTATCCCCATATTACACCACCTCATACATTACTCTCTATGTATTAGATATACTGTCTGCATTCCAAGAATTAATACATTTATTTTCTCTAGATGACTTGTATATTTCAGCATCTCAAGTGATTTTAAGTCCTTCACATTGTTTACCAGATGTGTTAACTCGGCTCACTGCCAATCAACAATTGTTATTGCTTTTTTTCAAATGATGATTGGTTAAGCTGGTTGAAAATGTTAGTGGATTAATAAACCTTGTTTTTCTGAAAATTTAAGGTATATGTTGGAGATTTTGGCAAAAATCATTCCAGTTGAGAGAAAAATGATTATTTCTAAAAAAAACAATCATCTGTGATTTTAGAATTACCAAATGATATCAATACAAAATATTAGTCAGAAATTAAAACATTATAAATGAAATGTGTTATTGGTAAATCTTATTATTATATTAATATGATTTATTCAAACTTACAGTTTACAATATATCTATAGTATATCTCTGAAGTATATATTATACTTTAGATAAACATACNAAATATAACATTGATTTAAACATACTCTAAAAATAAATCAATTAGCTTTTTATTTGTTGCTAAAAAAACTAAACATTTCAACAATATTTAAACAAACACTGCTAATTTTATCCAAAAACCTTTCAAGTTATCAAACTACAGATCTTAACTATTAAACACAAATTAATGTGTTAAATATTAACAAATTAAGCATGTAAAAAAGTTCAAATTATTATTTAAACTCTGTATGTTTTCCTTTTCCATTAACAATAGTATACTATGATAGAAAAAAATAAAATGATTTAAACAGTTTAGATTTTATTAAACCCCTTAATCTCACATCTGACTAATAATCATTTAATGATTATTTGTCAGATGCAAGATACAAGTCAATAATACTAGGTCAGAGTAAAATGTCTACTGTAAATTTTACTGTACTGACATTTTACTCTGATCTAGTATTATTGATACATATGCTTAAGATATGTTAAATTTGTAACATGATGATATCTTGGGTATTGAATTAGTAATGATATAATAGCCCAGTCCATTCCATAATATAAACTCAGACAGTTCATTAATGTTTAAATTCCAACAGTAAATTTAGAGATTATAAAAATGTATATTCTAAATAAACAAAAAATTTAATGAAATACAAAGGGAAAAAAATTAGAATTAATATATAAAATAATTAACAATTACTGTACATAAACAAAATTGAAAATAATTATTTTTATACATTAAAAAAAATAATGCTTCTATATT